TGTTTTTCCGGGGGTTCCCACGGGGGGGGGCCCCTTTAAGCAAGATCTCAGCTTCCCCCTTGTGATGCAAAGGCGGGTGGCGGGACCCTTTCCTCCCTCCCGGCAAGCGTTAAAGACCTCCCAGCGGGAAGGTGGGAACCACGAATCCCCCCGTTAAGGCGCGCGGGTTGAGAGCGCAGTGGCGCTAGGACCCCCCCCCCCCCCCGGGCTAGGACCCCCCCCCCCCCCCACACACACACACACACACCTGCACAAGGTTCATGCACCAGGCATCCAGTTCAATGATCATTCACATCATGGCTGCTTTGCCTGGTTGTTTACAACCATCGGCTGCGAGTCCGGGTGACATTTCAGCGATGAGCCTGCTGCTCCATCTCAGTGACAGGTTCCCGGGTGCGCAGCCTGCGGGGCCCTTTCTCTCCGGAGCTGGAGACCCCGGTGCGGGCGGTGCCCCCACGGGTGTGCTGACCCCCCGGGGCCCCTGAGCCCCAGCCCAGCGCTTCCCGACCCCGGGGGCTGGTTGTGACCTCCGACCCGGTTCCGAGAGCGGACTTTGTGTCCGTGTTCCGGCTCCTAAGAGAAGGGAGAAAACCGGAACCTTAACGCAAACCACTCACCGGAAACAAGGGGTGGGGGCCGACTTCCGGGGGCACTTCTCCAGGGAGCGGAAGTTCAAAGGTAACGTTCGTCAGCCTGGCTTCCTTCCGGACCCCGACTCCTTTTGGGGTTCCCGGGATGAGCGACCCCGTTTTAGTTCACAGAAGCGTCAACATCGGGAACAACTCACAGGAGGGCGCTGCCCGCTGCGGGGACCTGGGCTGCTCTCTGGGAGGGGCCGCGGGGGACCCCGCCATAGCTGCTCTGGTAGCGGCCGCGGGCGGATGCGGGGCCTCAGGCGGATGCGGGGGCGTCCGGTGACCCCGAGGGACGGGCTGCGCTTGAACTTCATAGACTTGGGACGTGACGCCCAATAGTTTTAGTTTCCTCGTGTCTCTCCACAGGAAGGGCCGCCGGGAGGAGGGTGCAGGTGCCTCCGAACCGCAGGGCTGTGTTACCTGAGAAAAACCTTCAATATATACCAGGTGTATCGGTTAATAATGCGGATTTTGTAATCAAAGAAAACACCATAATTTCAAGAGAAACATCAAAAGTGCTTTATTCAAAGTCATGTCCTTCGCTGGCTACACATTTCCCATCTTTCCGGTAACTTGTGGAGACCGTCCGTCCCAGTAGAACTTTTCTCGTTTTGAGGCAGACCATTCGGAGACCCAATTGTCCATTCTTCGTATGTGTTGAAGTGCCGCTCAGGAAGTGTGTGCGCCATGGATCTGAACAAGTGGTCATCTGCAGGAGCGAGGGCTGGTGAACACGGCGGGTGGGTTAATACTTCCCAGGCAAGATCTTTTAACGTGTCTGTAACTGGTTCTGAAGTGGGTGATGGTGCGTCATCATGAAGCAAAATTACTTTGCCGTGTGTTCTGGAACATTCTGGTCGTTTCACGATCAAAGCGTGGTTCAAATTGATTATTTGTTGTCAGTAGCGATCAGTATTAACGGTTTCACCTGCTTTTAGAAGCTCATAATACACCACACCTGCCTGATCCCACCAAACGCAGAGCATTGTCTTCTTTCCAAAGCGATTTGGCCTTGCAGTGGATGTTGATGGTTGACCTGGGTCAACCCATGATTTTGTGCATTTGGGATCCTCAACATAAATCCACTTTTCATCGCCAGTCACAATTCGATGCAAAAAAGTCTTTCTTTCGTGCCGTTGAAGCAACATTTTACTGGTGACTTTTCGGTTTTCCATTTGTCTTTCGTTCAGCTGATGTGGCAACCATTTTCCTTCCTTTAAATCTTTCCCATTGCTTGTAAACGACCGGAAATTGTTTGCTGAGCAACGTTGAATCTTTCTGCGAGTTGTTTTTGAGTTTGACACGGATCTGCATCCAATAATGCTTGTCATTGTTGGTCTTCAAACTTTTTCGGTTGACCTGGACGTTCCTTGTCTTTCACATGGAAATCCTCACTTTTAAAGTGTTTAATCCAGCATTCACAAGTATCTTGAGATGGAGCGAGTTCACCATTAGCTTCCCGAAGTATACGATAACTTTCAGCAGCACTTTTCTTCAAAATAAAGTAATGAATTAAAACTTCCCACAAATGCTCTTTTTTGGCATGAAATTCGACATTTTTAAGGGTAAAAATATGATGTTAACACCTTCAGAAAAATTGACATATGAAGTTTTGAAGCTTGCTATCAATACAACAAAATAGCATAAATATCAAATCGTATATATATCAACATATGTGTAACTCCATCTAGTGAAAAAATCTGCATTATTTGCCAGGACCGGTTTGGCTCAGTGGATAGAGCATCGGCCTGCGGACTCAGGGGTCCCGGGTTCGATTCCAGCCAAGGGCATGTACCTTGGTTGCGGGCACATCCCCAGTAGGGGCGTGCAGGAGGCAGCTGATCGGTGTTTCTCTCTCATCGATGTTTCTAACTTTCTATCCCTCTCCTTTCCTCTCTGTAGAAAATCAATAAAACATATTTTTTAAAAAAATCTGCATTATTAACCAGTGCACCTAGTATATATATATTATTGACTTCAGAGAAGAAGGGAGAGGGAGATAGAAACATCAACGATGAGAGAGAATCACAGATCGGCTGCCTCCTGCACACCCCCCACTGGGGATGGAGCCCACAACCTGGGCCTGTGCCCTGACAGGGAATGGAAGGGTGACCTCCTGGTTCATAGGTAGACGCTCAACCATTGAGCCATGCCGGCCGGGTGATGAGAAAAATCTTTTTTTTGTTTTAATTAAATCTTTATTGTTCAGATTATTACATTTGTTCCTCTTTTTCCCCCCATAACTCCCCTCCACCTAGTTCCCACCCCACCCTCCTCCCTCACTCCCCACCCACTGTCCTCATCCATAGGTGCACGATTTTTGTCCAGTCTCTTCCCGCATCCCCCACACCCCTTCCCCCCGCCCAAGAATAGTCAGTCCATTCCCTTTCTATGCCCCTGATTCTATTATAATCACCAGTTCATTCTGTTCATCAGATTATTCACTTGATTTTCAGATTCACTTGTTGATAGATGTGTATTTGTTGTTCATAATTTGTATCTTTACCTTTTTCTTCTTCCTCTTCTTAAAGGATACCTTTCAGCATTTCATATAATACTGGTTTGGTGGTGATGAACTCCTTTAGCTTTTTCTTATCTGTGAAGCTCTTTATCTGGCCTTCAATTCTGAATGATAGCTTTGCTGGATAAAGTAGTCTTGGTTGTAGGTTCTTGGCATTCATCACTTTGAATATTTCTTGCCACTCCCTTCTGGCCTGCAAAGTTTCTGTTGAGAAATCAGCTGACAGTCGTATGGGTACTCCCTTGTAGGTAACTGACTTTCTTTCTCTTGCTGCTTTTAAGATTCTCTCTTTGTCTTTTGCTCTTGGCATTTTAATTATGATGTGTCTTGGTGTGGTCCTCTTTGGATTCCTTTTGTTTGGGGTTCTCTGTGCTTCCTGGCCTTGTAAGTCTATTTCTTTCACCAGGTGGGGGAAGTTTTCTGTCATTATTCTTCAAATAGATTTTCAATATCTTGCTCTCTCTCATCTTCTGGCACCCCTATAATTCGGATGTTGGTATGCTTGAAGCTGTCCCAGAGGCTCCTTATGCTATCTTCGTATTTTTGGATTCTTTTTTCATTTTGCTTTTCCGGTTGGGTGTTTTTTGCTTCTTCGTATTTCAAATTGTTGATTTGATTCTTGCAATCCTCTAGTCTGCTGTTGGGAGTCTGTATAATATTCTTTATTTCAGTCAGTGTATGCTTAATTTCTAGTTGGTTCTTTATCACAACATCGAGGGTCTCATTAGATTTCTTGTAGATCTCATTAAGTTTATCGGCAGTTTCTATAAAATTATTGAAAGACCTTAAAAGTGTGGTTTTGAACTCTATATCCAGTAGTTTGCTTTCCTCCATTTCTGTCATTTGTGTCCTTTTTCTTTGTCTCCACATTTTTTATGCTTCCCTGTGTTGATACAGTGGTTTTCTGTGCTAAGTGTCCTCTAGGGCCCAGTGGTTCAGCCTCCCCAATTACCTGAGGAGGACACTCTTGGTGTACCCCCTTGTGGTCTTTGTGCACAGTCTTGTAGTTAAGCCTTGATTGTAGGTATCACTGGGAGGAATTGGCCTCCAGGCCAATTGGCTGTGAGAATCAGCTGTGTATGCAGTGGGAGAACTTCTGTGCTGGAGACACCCCTCTGGGGCAAGACTTGCTTCAAAGGGGCTTTGGTGCTCACTGAGTCTGCCCCCTGAGTGTGTCCTTTATGGTTCCACAGAGCTGCAAACTGGATGGTCCCACTCTGACCTCTGGATTTCCTGGCTCCTGGATCTCTAGGGAGGTGCTAATCTAGCCTTTTCCTGAGGCTATCCCGCAAAAGCCTCCCTGCAGGGCTTGGGCGGGGCGGGTCCCACGGGATCAACAGGGCAGGGCTAGCAGTTATGGCTGCTCTCAGTCTTACCCTCAGAGGCTTTGCTTCTCAATGTCCTGGTAATCGCTGCAAGCCTCTCGGAGAGAAAGCTGCCCTCAAGTTCCGACCACTGCCAGACAGTCCCGCTTCTCCCGTATGAGTCTGGGTCCCTAGAGACTCGCCCAGAACTGGAGCTCAGAGCCTGAGACTCCCTCCCGATTGAAAAAGACAACCGCGCCCTCAGCCGCCAGCCTGTTCCGCACGCACCTCCGCACCTTAGTATTTTACTTCTGCACTGCGCCTCCTCTGAGTCTCGGTATGCTTTTCTCTTTCCTTCTAGTTGTAGAATTTCCACTCAGCCAGCCTTCCTATGGTTCTGGGTGATGTCCGTTCCGTCTTTTAGTTGTATTTTTGAAGTGGTTGTGCGAGGCAGCAATCTCCGGTGTTTACCTATGCTGCCATCTTGGTTTCTCCTCGAGAAAAATCTTTATTGTTTAATCCAATAACATGATCTGACAGGACACCCCAGGGTGGTGGTTGGAGGATGGAGGCCTTCAGAACCTCAAGCCCATTCTCCACACCTGCTGCCTCATTAATGTCAGTCTTCTCTCTCCTTCACGCGTGTGTAGTTAAAATATGAAATAAAACAGCTCAGAGATGAGGCTTTCCAGGGTCAATGGTATCACAGCTGAGTTGAATCAAGAGAGGCCTTCTCATCTGCCAGTGTGGCTCAGTGGTTGAATGTAGACCTATGAACCTGGAGGTCGCCGTTTGATTCCCTGTCATGGCACACGCCCAGGCTGTGGGCTCGATCAGCCGTGCAGGAGGCAGCCGGTCCATGATTCTATCTCATCATGGATGTTTCTTATCTCTCTCCCCCTCTCCCTTCTTCTCTGAAGTCAATAAAAGATATATTAAGGGGGGGGGGCCTTCTCACCAACTACCAATGTGGCATTCCCGTCATTGGCTGCATTTAGCAAGAACACGGGGCTGACCCAGCTGCTTCTTCATGGGAAACAGGACAAAGACACGCTTCTCAGGGAGAACCCCGTGGGAATGAAGGTGGAGACGGGGCTCAGCCTCCACCACCAGGAGATGCCCAGAAGCCAGCGAACCCCCAACAGGAGGGCAGAGGCTGGACCACCCTGCGGGGATGGGAGTCAGAGATGGGAGGGCGGGCGAGAACCCTGCGTCCAC